ACTGCAGCTTGCAAGATTTTATCAAACCTCAAACTTCAGGCTCGCGCTTGCGCTAATATCTCCATAGAAGAATCCATATCAGAGATATTGTACTAGATATTACAGAGAGTAGTAACTCAGATGTCAACATGCCGTGCAAGGATACTCTGCTGATCGATAGACATCGGAGTCTCAAGTCAACAACAAGGATATTGCCTGTGAAGCTGCAACTTGATTACAGCGGCAGGGACTTTTTTACACCATTAGGAATGTCACCCATCCAACCGCTGGGGAGTGTTACAGAGTTGTATCAAAAAGAAAACCTCCCCGTTAATCAATCCTTAGGCAAACTAGAAAGCTCTGTTTCAACTGTGCTGCATTCCAACAAATTCCAACAAGGCACGAACTGGACGTACTTACATTTCTGCAGAGCTACTACACTAAAGCACAGTATGCACATGTATTCGAAACGTTCTCCTCATGCGCGCATCTCACGAACAGGTCTGACGGCATCATTTGACCAATACAGATCTAGGGGATGGCTGTCATCCTCAATCGAGACCCATAAATTAGAAAAGCACACATTACTTATCAGACATGGATCAGTAGGGAGATATATATTAAAAAGAGAACATCTCTGTAGAACGTTCTGTCCGAATTGGGCCTCAAATTAATTAATTGTCGACCCCGGCCCCTGGTTTAAGTTCAAAGTTCTTAGGGCTTCGTCTCCGGAACAGCCGACAACACCCAGGTACTCCGTGTATGTACTCGCGGCCAGCAACAAGAACCCGAATATGCAGCTGCAAGTCTTTGGTATATTTTTCACTTCTACTCCAATGGAAATTGCAGATTGGGACGTGCATTTTCGGGTTCTTGTTGCTGATCGCGAGTACATGTAGGTATTAATATGGATGGGACGTAATATGGGTATGTAGTAATTCCCTTTCCCCTTTGTTTGTACTGCACAAGCTGTAGAAAAGGGATAGAGTTAAATGAAATTAAGAATAACGGAACGCGCGGCAATATCCAGTTGGAAATGGTAAAGTAAATTTATTTCTTGTTATGCTTCCTAACAAGATTTTCGCCCAACGTCTATTTTTCTACGGAAGGGGGTACTGTGGGAGAGTTGAAAGGGTTCCAACGATTAACCGAAATGGATTTAACCGATGACGATAACTGCGTGGCTGCCACAGTGGCCAACCGCCTGCTTCTACAAACGACCTCATCCCCGAGAATATCTTCCAAAAGCAGGATTGCCCGGAATTGTGACCGATACTGTTAAAACCGTTAAGGAGGCGAAAATGAGTGACGTGATATAATCAGATCATGTTAGGGGAAAGTAGATTGCGTACATGTATGTTGACAGACCAAACCTTACGGGGAGATAAGAAAACTGTCCGCGGCGCAATATCAAAAAAAATATTGGAGGTTTACCGAACGCGTCTTGCTGGGATAATAGCAACATCGACAACGATAATAGCAATTGGCATCAATAAAAACCAGCAAATAGAGCATCGGTATTATTCCACTGGATTGTTTATGGTGTGTCAAAATATGCTCACTCGGCTTAGTTGTCGTAGTAACTACATGTACCTATGTACCCAAGTTCTTTTTTACCTGTAGGTACAGAGCGCCCCTACAGCAGTTCCCGGATCAAGAGAAGCCCCCGTTCCGAGATTTTAAAAGGCAGACTGCTTGGTTATACCTACCGAATCAAAAAAATTGTGGATTTGTGGATAAACCATCGAAGCCGTGTTCCCTTCCCGGTGCATATTTGACGTTCCGAGTCTTTGGCTGCACTCCAAGCGAACGCGGGGAATCATCTGCTCGTTGGACATAGAAAACCACTAGTGCCACACTCCTCACATACTCTGCCTACCTTCACTCAACGGCCGTGCGCGAGCCCCGGGGAAATGCATCTGCCCCAGTGGTTTAACATACCGACAGATACCAAAGGTGAAACGGGTGTTTGTCTCACTTCTACCCCTCATGAGGCAACTGTCCAGCCATAAAGAATCTTCTATATGTCGAATTGAAACGGGATGTGCGCTAGCCATAGACCTAGTGCATGTAGAGTAGGTGTGAGGCTGGGCTGGTTGCTTTTTCCATTTGTTCTTTTGTGACGAGAGTTCCTCCTCTTTCTTGTGTGAGGATCAGTGATCAGTTGAACGAGAAAAAAACATTAGCTTCGGAGAAAAGAGCGGGAGCATCTTGCATAAGTACGGTCCACTGTGTAATTAACTGACCGGTGGGCCCGTACATGGCGGACAGGGACCAACCTGTCCTACTCTAGCAAAATACGCCTGCACAGAGTACTAGTTGATGGCAACCCAATTGGGATTCTGCTTGACTGTGGGAAACAAGGGGAAAAGTGGCGCATGCGGTGTTGGTGATCAAAATCAATTTACCCTAGAGTGCTCTAGAGTGATAAGTCGTGGAAAGAAAGAAAAATACCGAGTGAAAAAGTAAGCATGAAACCACCGCAAGACGTCGGGTACATACATGTAGGGTGGTACAGCAAAGGATCGATACATAACTTATCCCAACTAGGTGCTCAAGTTAGTTATACTGTAAGTAAGTAATTTCCAACCTCTCAACTTTTTTGCATGCATGTTATTCGAACCATCATCTAATTGGTTTCTATCCTACATCTTCCTACCGCTTTGCGCTATTATTTGTAGAGTATGCCGCTCAGACATTACGCACTAATTGTACAAGTGAATACCATCAGCACTCTAACCGAACTGTAGGTATCTTTTGAGTTGAGTACGTGACTTAGCACATACCGTATCCCTGGTAATATGGTATTCTCAATTATTACTTATGACTTTCATGAGGCAGCTTAATTAGGAGTAGCAACGCAGTGTGAGTATTAGTAGAGACTTTGCGTAAAGTCTCTGGTACCCAACTAACTATCTGGCCCGAGAGTGCGTAATATAATATATTATCATAGCTAAGACTGGTGGCAATTACATGTATGTATGGATTATGAGGAGAGACAGATATCATTAAGAGTTCATTGCAGTGTCTTTGCCTCCGGGAATCGTTCAAATCGGCTGCGAATATCGTGATGCCCCGATGTTCCAGAGCTACAAAAACTACATGTAGTTAGACTGTTACGGAGAGCTGAGCCGGTTCTCACTCGGGACGTGGCAATATTACCAAGAGGCTAGCAAGCGGGAGAGTAGAGTAGTATTTGGGGCTCTATGATCATGAATAACGGTCAGAACTCGTTCTCACTGAAGTTAATTCCGCTCGGGTTGGCATCAGGGTAAGGTATGGTTGCCGGGAACCATGAACTGAAATAAGACTTAGAGGCTCTTTAGATCTGTGTTAACCCGACGCCTGTTCTGACACCGGCAGCTAAACATCAACCCTTAGCAACCCTCTCCCTTTACCCTCGAGTCACCCTTATGGTCCCTGGTTATTCTTATTTTGTCTGTCTGCCGCTTTCAAATTTGAGCAGTTCTTCACCGTCGTGCACAAGGACAACCAGGTTCTAGGTGTCACGACGGCGTTTACCGAAGTAAAAGTGGTTTCCTGCGCCCCTCTTCCTCAAGGTACGGTCTGCACACATACACCACATATTTTCTTAGGTTACCAGCCTACAGACTCAGTGGTGCAAAAACTCTAAACGCTTTACCCGGTTCACACGCACCACCGTTGCCTGCCTGTCCACTTGCTTGCCCTAGAAGATCCAATCCTACGAAGCCAATTTGCAGCATCTATCCAATCCTACCAATCATCATCATCGCCATTATCATCATCCATCCATATCAATCATATCAATCATATCAATCATATCTCTCACACACACGCCCCTTTGTGAGCGAATAAGTCTTATTGTTGGGTTGGTTACCGGCACCCCCATTATCTGATTCTTTCCTTCGTCCGGCGGGATGCATTCGAGTATGAGCTAGAAGTGCTGCTCTAAACGGAAAAAAAAGAAGCCGATCTTTCTAGAAGCAGTGTCTAGACCTAGACAGGTTATTCGCATTTTCTATTCCGACCCTAGCTAGGTCCTCTAGCGCGGAAGTAACAAATTCCATCCCGCTGCAGAGGATTAAGGCATCATCGACTTTTGAAAACCGCACGAAGAAGAAGGGAGAGCAACTGTGTGGCGCGCTGCTGTTCTTAGTAATAGTGCCTCGTTCAAGGGTGTGGGGGGCCCTTAGACATAGGTACACGCTATTATTACTAGGGAGTTCCTGAGAAAAAAGGCCAGACAAGTCCGTTCGTTGTATTGTGCTGGTTGGTGTGAGTGAGTGAATGTGAGAGAGTTTATCTGCAGGTATTTTCACTGGCAATCGTCATACACTCATAACGGACCTTCTCCGGGGTAGGGAAGGAACGAACGAACGGACGAACGAACGAACGAAGGGGGTGCCCGAGGTTTCATTCCTGCTGGCCAGCGCGCTCGCGCGTTACTATCGGGAATCTCCTAGGGCGTTTTTTTTTTTCCTTCTTCGTTCCGGGAAGACCTCGATCTCAAAAAGTTACGGAAGTTACGCTAGTAGTTGAGAGGCGAAAAGAAGACGCGCGAGGGCTTCGGACTGGGTTGGTGAGCAAGGACCGCGCGAGAGTTGTGCATATTGTCATATCCCGAAAGACAGGCACCGCGGTCGACATCGCAATTGTCTTGACTACTAGCGGCAGATACACGTCCGAATATCGAATTTTGCAGCGCAAATCAATTGAGACAAGGGGATCAAACAGCGGTGAAGGGAGAAAAGGCTGAGGAGAAAAGGAAGACCTAAACTAGAGAGTTTATAGAGAGTATTTTGGTTTAGTGTAAGTAGTGGGGGTGGGTTTGCTTTTCTTTTCCATTCATTCATCCACACATCCACACTTTCGAAAAACTTTCCTTCACGAAGTGGAATGAGTGTGTGAACGAGTGTGATCAGAGTGCCCATCATTAATCCTTTGCGTCATTGGCGAAACCAATAGGTCTCATTCCTAACCTTCCTTACACAAACACTTCCAGCCAGCGGTGCTGCTGTGCTGCTGCTACCCGTTCAATCATGGACAGACATCATCGCCACCCGCAACAAAACCAAAATCCTCATCACCAGCCTTTACATCCGCATCTACTTCAGCATCAACAGCATCAACAGCATCAACAGCATCAACAGCATCAACAGCATCAACAGCAGCAGCAGCATCAACAGCAGCAACAGCAACATCAACAGCAGCAACAGCAGCAACAGCAGCAGCACCAATATCAGCACCAGCAGCACCAGCAGCTCACCCCACAACAGCAACAACATCATCAGCAGCATCAGCAGCATCAGCAACTACCACAGCCTCTACAGCATCAGCAGCAACAGCAGCCTCTCCAGCAGCAGCACCCAGGCCTCCAAATAGACCCTAGACTTCACCACCAGCAACAGCAACAGCAATCGGACGTGCCTTCCCCACATCATCCTCATGCTCTTCGCCCGTTACAGTCGGCGTCACCAGCCTCATCAACCCCATCGCCTGCTGGATACCATCCTAACGCAGTCCTACCGAATCTGCACGGCGTGAATCCGGGTGGGCCTTTAGGCCAGAATACCAATAGCCAACCCCAACCGCAGAGTGGGCCTTCTCCACATATGCAGCAGTATCATCACCCACTTGCCCCTCATCCCCACCCGCACCCGCAGTCAAACCCATCGTTGCAGCAGCACCAAAACCCGCACCAAAACCAGAACCAGAACCAGAACCAGCACCAGCACCAGCCGCAGTCCCACCCACCCATCCAGTCGCTGCAGTCTCTTCCTCAACAACGCCCTCAGAATGTTGTACCTCAACGGCAAAACCCTGTACCTCTGCGTCCAATGCCCCCGCCGCCACTCTCTGCAGCCCCATCGTCAGGCCTGCAGGTGACTGCCTCGCCCACTCTATCGTCTTCGTCGTCTTCCCCCTCAGGCCCGCAACCGATATCTGTAAATCCGAATCAGCCTGGTGCGATAGTCGGCGGACGTCAGGTCTTGCCTAATGTAGTGAGTTCAGGGCCGTCGCCCACAGCGGTTCCTGGAACTGCGGGTCCGCCCCCGCCCCCGTCTAATCCTCGCCCCGCGAATGCGCGAGCATCCACCAACAGTGGGATCACTCCCGGCGCCACTAGTCAAATCACTCCAGTAAAGGATCAAGACGGCAAATTCCCATGTCCCCACTGCCCTAAGACATACCTGCACGCCAAGCATTTGAAGAGGCATCTCTTGCGGCATACCGGTGATCGTCCTTACCAGTGCGTTTTGTGCAAGGATACGTTTTCTAGATCGGATATCTTGAAGAGACATTTCCAAAAATGTTCCATCAGGAGGGGAAACCCTACAGGCGCAACCCATTTAAGCCATGCTCATGCTCACCAGCAGGGAAAACAAGCAAACAATCAGAACAATGCTGATGCCACATCTATTTCAACACCTTCAACAGTCGCGGGTGGATTGTCGCCCAGCGCAGCCTCACCCGGGGGTAAGAAAAAGTCCACAAGGGCGTGCGATCAATGCGTGAGGCTAAAAGTCCGCTGTGATCTTGCCAACCCTTGTGAGAGATGCAGAACAAAAGGCGGCGATTGCACATATTCTAAATCCCTAAAACGACAGGATTCAAGAGAGGAGAGCGGTTTGTTACCACCTACAAGTTTTGCGGAGCAGGTTGGAGGAATGGGCCAGACAGTTGGATATGCATCAGAGGGCTTTAACTTTCCCCCACCTGCACATCCCCAGGCCCACATGGCACAACAGGGACATCAACAACAACAGGCAATTGTAGCATCACAGCAGCGACCGCCTCAGTCAGCAGCCCCTCACCAACAGCCCCCTCGCCAATTAACAAATGTTTCACAGCCTCCAACAAGCACAGGTTACTATGCGAATTCTCACACGCAACCGCCAAATGGAGAAGTAGATTGGTCCTCTTTTATGCATGTACCAGATCCGGCGTTTATGGACCCTTTTTATATCCCACAAACGGGAGGTCCCTCAACTGATAGTGGGACGCCGACAACGACTGCAAGTATTGAGCACTCAGGGGGAGGAGGAACAGGAGGGAGTGTGTTTACATTATATAATGGTGGGAGTGATCCCTCTGCGATGAATGGAATTCTAGGCGGCTTTAATGGGTGGACACACCTAGCCATGCATCAAATTGATCCTTTGCAAGCTAAATGTGATCAACTGATTGCGGTCTGCTTTCCCGAAAGTTTGGATCAGAGTAGTCCTGGCAGTGGTTCGCCAAATCTGCAAATCAAGCAAGAGCCTGGAAACGACGCAGATTTGAAAAGTTGGCTAACTCCTGATCATGTTAAGAATTTCGTCCACCTGTTCTTTCTCAACTTCCAAGGTCATTTCCCGATGATCCACCTCCCAACATTTAACATCACCCTCATCTATGACGGGTTGTTGTTGGCGATAATTTGCATTGGTGCTGTTTACGCAGAGGGTATTAGTGTCGACCAGGTACGGACGTTGATTGATAAGTCATTTGAAGCTATGGACAGAAACGCAGCGCCACCCGGGCCGCTGGAGATTGAAGAAATTCAGGCAAGATATTTTCTGCATGTCTTGGCAACCTGGCATGGTCATCTTCATCAACGAGAGGATTCACGACGAAAATATGGAAAGGTTATTCAGAAGGCCAGACAGGCGGGTCTTTTCCAGCCCTTGTCACCGAGTAACCCTGGTACTAGCACCGCGGGCTACAGTATATATCACCAACTTGACGATCAACCAGTCAGAGGCAACTGGAATTGGAATGCATGGCTCGAGCAAGAAAAGCGAAATAGGGTCATGTTTGGTATATTCCTTTTGAATTCGGCGTTTGTTATCTTTTTCAATTCACCACCCCAAATCCAGCCCAATGAAATACGACTGCCATTGCCAGCTGATGATGCCGCCTGGGAAGCTCGCGATGCAAATGAGTGTGCAAATGCTTTAGGGTTGAACGGGGAAGATGGCATCAGCCAAAACATTGCCGGGTCTCGGCAGGTACGGCAGCCAGAGTTTATCCTCGCCCTTAGATCGCTGCTGCAAATGCATCTAGACTTCAACCCGGGTACGACGAACGCTTACTCCAAGTTCATCCTCATCCATGCCTTGCATGTGCATATTTGGACAACACAAAAGTTGATGTCGAACGCCTCAGAAATGGGTATCGGCAAACAGATAGGTAGCACGGCAAGAGTTGGAACAGGTGAATGGAAGTTGGATGGACAAAACAGGAATGGTTGTGGCGCGCCCGAGGGCTTTGGAGATAGCGAAATAGCGATGTCGGATGCAGCAAAGGCAGTCAGGATCACCCAATATGCGCTGGAGAAATGGAAGAGGGCTTGGGATACAGACCTTGCAGCACAATATCCTTCGCCTGAGTCTAGGAAAGGGTTTGGAAGAGATGGAGTGCCATTCTATCTTTTGGGAAAATTATACTTGGCCCGAAATAGAACCATTGATTGGAGGCATGGAGTTGATGATGACAAGACGGTCTCTAAAGTTAAGAATATGCTGAAGCATGTCCAGGGGTTTATCACGGATGGGACCGGGAGGTTGGACTTACAGGGTGCAGTTTCTGCAATTGACGAGGGTTTTGCGATGGATGAGTTGACGTACGATATGAAACTGCTGTTCAGGCCAATGGAAGAGATCGACAACAAATCACCACTACAACAACCAAGAGAGTTGCTCCGACCTGGAAATAACGACACAAGAACCTTTCTTTGAAAAAGGGCACGGTGCGAGTATATTGCTTTTCGCGTAATGGGTTTATGGTTTTTTGGGGGTTTTTATTATTGTTTTTTTGTTCTATTCCACTAGTATTCCTTTCTCATGTTTCTCTCCGCCTTTGGTCAGATAAGTATTTCTTAGATGGACGGAGGAGCGTCGAGGGACAGGTAATTTTGTGATTACCGAACACTTTTTATGATGGCATTTCACTTTTTTCACTTTTTTTCTTTTTGATTTGGTACGGGACTGAATTTTCTCGATAGTCTGTCACTATCGCAGTTATTCTTGTAATCTTTCATCCTTTCTATACTCTTTTTTTTTTTTTAAGGAGATTGACTTGTTCTTCAGTTCTATATCTCGTATCATATTTCGTTAACGTTACTTTTTGGTCATTGTTTTGGGCGCATATACTATCATCTACATTCGTTATTGATGTTTTTTACTTTGGGGGTGGAGTACTGGTGGTCTGTCTGTCGTTCTATATCCAAAAGGAAAACCATGATTTATTTGTTTTATATGCACGGTTAAAGGCGCGCGCGGCCTTGTAACGGAAATTTTTAATAATTCTCTATATACCACCCGTTTACAGTTCTGTATTTACCATTCTCTCTTTCGTTCTTTAGCTCTTTCGTTTTAATTCTTTAGCTCTTTCATTCACCATACCACAGTCGTTCTATATCTTGATCACCATGTACAGTAACATGTGTAATCGCCTCTTCATACCTACTTTCGTTTCTTTGTTTCTTAATTTCTTGGCGATTGCGTTTTGTTTTCTTTTCCTTTGATCTTGGCTTGTTCTGGGTTGGGCTTTTTACTTTATGATTTGACGACGAAGGGAAGGGAAGGGCAGAAACGGTTTGGGTTGGACTGGGTTGGCGGGGAAATAAAAAGTGCTGATTGATGTATGGTAAAGAGATAAAAATCTAGGTTAATGCCTTAAGGGCGGAGTAATATATTGGGCTTAATACAGTAACTACTCATGATGTTGGTTGGTCGTCATCAGAAGAGCCAGAAACCCCCAGAAGGATGATTTGACCGTTCTCTACCCCTGTCTCCGCTACTTGTACTTTGGTGCTATTCCCAGGTTGAAATTGGGTGTTTAATTTCTGATACTACGATACCGAGGCATCGCGCGGATCTTGGGGCGTTGTTACCCGCGATGCTGATATTTGATCACCCATCTTGGTACTGCAATATCAAAGTCAAGTAGTTATATTGACTCATCTCGTCCCATCACACACATCCGGCTACAGATACCACAATTCCTAGCGGCTATATAGTAACGTAATCACGAATTCTTGGTACATACGTAGAGTGCTGTAATATTAGGCCTGATATCGAGTCTCTATCCCACGTGGCCGGCCCTACTCTACGGGGTGTGTACGCTGTTGAGCAGTTGCAAAAAAGCACATGATTAACGAAAACCCTCAGCTTAGCCTAAACATACATCCCTGGCGCGCATCACGACCGCGGCACCGGACGGCATTCCGGGACTCGATCTCTGGGGCCGGTAGCTAGGGGGTGAGAGGAGATTGATTATTAGATTGGGTTTCTGTAGGGATGTATCGATATATTGATACAGTGCCTAGACTCGGAGCCGGCCCATGCAGGGTGATATAGATAAGATTATTTTGCGGACAGGTCAGTCACGGGGGGGGGGGGTGAGTGTGAGGTGACATGACCGGCCGCGGCTGTTGATACGCTGGGTTTGAGGTTTGTTTTTTGTGGCGGGTTGGTCATTGACAGTGGGGTCCGAAGTCTGGACCCGGAGATGTACCCATTTCTTCTCCTCGCTTACTTGGGGAGGGTCTGAAGAGTGGTGGGGTGATCTTGGTCAGAAATTCCCGGGCGTGGGGTGTAGAATGGAGCTGGGGCGGGCCGGCCGGGGATCCGTTAGACTGATTAATCCGTTTGATTCCGTTAGTACTGGATATACAGACCTTACTGTAGGACAGGGCATATGTTATAATTATCTCTTCGCATTTTCTAGGGTCAACTTCGACAACTGACTGTTCGGCATTCTCCAAAGCGGCGTAAATGTCATTTTTAAAGTGGAGTCGCTTGCCGGGCCGTGGTTTACACTGCCAATGATATCAAATTCGAAGTCCAAAATTGACGGTTGGCAAATGCAATCTAACAATTCTGGCCAGTTTTGGTCAATCTCGGACACGTTGGTCGGCGGTTTGATTTGTTCGCGTGAGGGCCGGATTTTAATTAAGTACCGAAAACAGGTGAGGTTTTAAAGACCACCATTTCCAGTATTCATAGGCATTACAAAATACCCACAAACCCTAGCCCTAGGTTAAATAATACAATAGATTACTATGTTCTGGCCCAACTGCGAACGAAACCATCTCATTCCAAACACATTATCTACAGAAACTAGCAACTGTGATAGGAATGGAGACTATATAGATTGCCAGACACACCAGGTGGGTCAAGACATGAAAATGATGGCTTTTGCAATATTAGTATGGGATTTAATTTGTCAAAGGTTCCAGACAGCAATGATTACGCTAGCATGAAATCTTGAGAATCGACGTGGTCTTCAATCGAAGAAAATTGATCGATCTAATTGTATTGAATTGCGCGGACTAAAGAGGGGCCGGAAAAACAAGATCCTCTCATAACAGGAAACAAAGCGCAGCACGCATAAACTATTCCGAATAACAACAAAGCGATATCTTAATCACCTACTTCCCTTCAACCCCCCACCCCGCACTCCTACACCTCAGACAATTTCCATCCCAATACTCCTCTCTCGCCGACTCCTCCCGCTTTCTCTTTCTCAACCCCTCTCCTCTTTCCATAATCTCCACGTCTTCTTTCTTTTCTTTCCATTTCCCATCCGTTTGCTCAACCGGCGCCTGGAAGAGCCGACGCACAGTGCGGGGAAACATCTCGTCAATCTCGCGGTCCGAGAACGGGTTCCCGAGCTGCCCATTGTGGTAGTGCAGGATTATCATTTTGGGCACGTACGCGCGGCGGGTGCTGGGGCGAGGCATTTTGTTTATTTTGATAATGGAGTTTTGGGAGTTGGTAATGGAGTTTTAATATTGGGGTCAACAGTTTTGATAGCATGGATTGACTAGTTGGTAAATGCACTGACTGGTAGATATCCTCAGTAGTAAGTATCACTCGGGACTATTTATCGTTCTCTACATCTTTCAAAACCGACACTTCTATTCAAGACGTGGTGCACATTCATGCTGTTACTTTTTCATAACGCTTGGAGCGCACATCACCTGCGGCCCTCCGAAACACATTCACACATTATCACTCGGCCGCGTTCGCAACCCCAACCGCACCCGCAACCAAAAAGTGCGGGCACGGCAGTGCACCAGAAACCTCACAGCAAATTTCTTCGAGATTCGGCCAATCATATTGTTCATATAGCTCGTGGACTGCGAGCAGGCACAGCCCCGAAGACGTCATACCGAGAGCGAATATGTAGGTACGGATACAAGAATGCGCGCATTGCGCACTTCACACCGTCTCGGGATAATAAATGCACAACTCCTGTGAAGAAAACATACCACTTCCCAACAAAAAAAAAAACATCATCATCCATCAAAGAAGACATCATTCATACCAACATTCAAGGCATACTGGACGAATCACTCAATCAGTCGATCAACCCAGCTTTCAAGTCAACCCTAACCCTGTGTCATCTGTTTTCAAGGGACCCCATGGCTTCACGTCTTCCTCCCCCACTCTCCACCCCACACCACCCCCAGGTTATTCGTACCAGTGGTCCGCTGCTAGAAGCACAAGTCTCGATCAAAATCACATCGGTGGGCCACTCATCTCCATCCCCCCAGAGAACACACCCCCCCTGTCACATCCGGGGTAAGACGATGGGTGTATCAGATGTACGTTTTTCTACTGAGTGGAAGAAAAGCGGCTAACTACTAAAGTAACGGATATATGTTTTACAGCAGATTGATATTCACAGTTTGCGTGCAGCTGCGCGCCGTAAGCTAGCGGTTGTTCATAAAAAAAATCGTTTTATTCGTTATTTAACCGTACACGTTCGTGTTCTTAAATGAAGGACTAGTAACCCTAACCCTCATCGGAACCATTTTTTCGTTTTTTTCTTTTTCTTTGTGTGGAGATATATACCTTACCGCAATAACAGGGAAAATAAGACTCAAAGAGGGAGAGGATGCCCGTTCTGAAACGAGACAGGAGGCAGCTGGAAGGTGCCAAGGTCCCAATCAACGGTAGTTGGGAGGAACATACAGGATCAAAAGTATGAGATGGAAAGAAAGGCGGGGTATTGGAGGCAGAGAGGATGTGATAGAGGAATGGGAAAACAGAGAGAAAGGCCAGATAGGCGGGTAATGTGCTTTGATACAAGCATTGAAGGAGCTGAACTGAGAGCCACACCATGTCGTTGATCCAGCATCGACAATCACCAGATATCACTCACGATCACATTATTTGCCAAGATCTGCAGCTTGTGACCCCACATTCCATTATCAGGCGGTATTTCTATTCACGTCCGTCCTGCGGCGTGATCCATACCGATCCCCCAATCGCGGCCACAGAAAATCGCAAAGGGAAAGCGGAAGGGAAGGGAAAGAAACAGCAACAATCCCTTCCCCACTATTGCACGCCAAGTGCTCGCGTTGAAGCAAACAAGAGCTAAGCAAATCCGTCCACACATCCTTATAATCCATTATTTTTTAATTCCCCCCCCTTCGCTCAGAACTCCTTCGTCATCGCTATCCTCGTCGTTTTCATCTGCATTGCAAGCCAGAAGTCCATTGGTATTGAGAAACCTCACACTGACCGGACTCCTTGCAGGTCCAGGACTCGTCTGACTCGCTGCTGGTGTCTCAGGATAGCTCCGAGACACAGTGCTCATGCTCCTAGAAACAGGGCTTGAACTACTTTGCGGCGTAATCTTAACATATGTTCCTGAAGAAAGTTCCTGCAACACAAATAGATAAGGTCTCTTCGAGCTCAATAACATCTGGTACTGGCAGGGAGAAATATTAGGAGGGGAGACAGAAGAAGAAGCAGAAGGGTTGGTGCTGCTGGCGGTCGTGGTGCGTGTTGTTGTGGCGGTAGAGGCGGTGGTGGTGGTGGTGGCCGCCTGCATGTGTGTCGAGGCTAGACATGGAAACGTTGGCGTTGAGCCGGATGGCTGTTCTGTTGAGCTCGACGAAGCTGTGCAGGGACTCGCGTCCGGCTCGTTAGATGATGGTGATGGCTCTGCTAGCATACTAAAGCGGAAACTCGGGAGTGGAAAATCATAATCACACTCGGGCACACTCACATCATCCAAATTGGCATCATCATCATGAGAGGGACGTTTAGGGTATCTATCTAGCCCTGCGATTTCACGAACCGCAGAAGCATAGGTAAACTCACCGTCTTCATCTTCCACTCTAGAGCCCGAGCCGGAGGGGGCATCACTTCGGTGATTCACTTCCGGATCAAGACCCATGATGCCAGTATCCCTGCTTTTTCTTCTCTTCTCCTCTTCTAGAACCTCTATCGACTTTCCACTTGTGTCATAAAAACGACTATTCCCCGGGGGCTCAAGGCGGTCAGTATCGCTCATCACAGCCTTTCCTTTTCCTTTGTCGATAGCCTGCCCTTCGTCAAGTCTGTTCGAACTCGAGCCCTGCCCTACCGCCCAATAAATGTCCGACAGATTCTGCCCACCATTGGAGCGTTCCGGGGTCATAGAATACTCCCGATTCAGCATTTCTCCAGCTGAAAGCGGGGCTATTGGGTCGATCTCCGGTAGAAAGAAGGGAGTTTCCTCGGGGGTCAACTTCAACCATTCCTTTGTTCCATCTGATGCCTTTATCCACGGAGAGATCGGCGGCGACTCTTCCATTCCTGGGGGGGACAAAGGGGGAGGGCACTGTATCATGGGAACCTGTTCAAAATCTCTCTCTTGCCACTCATGCGGAGCGGGATTTTCGGTGACCTTTGGTGGGGCGGCATAGTTTGGCTCCACATTTGTTGCCTCGGATGGAAGGAAATCGTGTCCTGGTTTGCTATTGAGTGCAAACGCAGATCCGCCAGGACTAATCCAAGCCCCGTTGCTCTCGTTACGCCTTTCTAGCGGGACAGTTTGTGGTCTTTCCGGGGGTTCGTTTTCAATGGTCCCTGTATCAGACACATCATTAGAAGCTAGAGGTACTGATAAAAATGGCACCGATACCCTCCTACGTGCGGAAGCAACCCCTCTGCGCATAGCTTCCCTAAACCCGGATCCATGGCTGGATCCATGAGCTGTAGACGACTGTCCTGAGGAAAGATACGGGGGCGTATGAGCGGGAGTGCGGGTGGATAGCGATTCTGGGTGCCTAGGCTCAGAGCCTGCAGCAGCAGCAGCGCTAGAAGCTGGTGATGCCGTTGAGCTTGCGTGATGTTTTCCAGACCGTAAAAATCGATTGACTCGGGTCCTAAATCTCTGGGTAGGAGGTGAGGAAGATGATCTAAGCTGTTCAGCTGCGGCCGTAACCTCGATGCCTTCGTGTCCCTCTTCTAACGACTCTCTACCTCGCCCTTTCCGGTGATGATGTCTCCATGATGCCAATTTGCTCGAGAATCGCGAGGGACTGGAGTGTTTGGCTGTACTCCCAGATGATGTTTCCGGGGCGTGTGGTAGAGCTGTGCTTGCCAAAGATGTGGCAGCAGTCGGGTGTGGAGGAGCTGGGGAATGATGACCTGTGCCCTGATGGGAGGACGTATTGAGGTTGTCTCTGGATAAAGGTTCCCTTGAGTTAAGTTCATTCATCAGATGGTCGACTTTGGGCATGACGCTATTCTGTCTGCTTCTTGAAGACAGAGTGTCTCGAATATTGTGTCTGACTGACAAAACATTCCCAAGCTTGGATCGAGCAGAATTCCATCGATGCTTTGTCCTCCCTTCCCCCTCTCTATCTCTCTCATCCGGCTGAGCACTTTCGTGACCCGGCGGCGGATACCGCTGAACATCTTCAGAAAAGCGAGTACCCTCCCCACGGTGTTGCTGCTGTTGTAACAAGTTTCCAACAGAATCCCTCACAGGTGTCATGCCCAAATAAGCACCGGCATTGGGCCTGATTTCGTCTGTTTTGGTCTGGCTGGGTAAATCTGTAGTGCTGGAAAGCTGCGAGGTTGGTGTTCCAAAAACCATCCTCCGGTCTGAGGATTTTCTAGGTTTGGGCGGTGAACCAGCACCATTCTCTGAGGGTTTAATATTAGAGCTGCTTGTCTCTCCACCATCACCGGCTCCCGTAGGAGGGAAAAGAAGGCCTGACATCTTCGCTCGATAAGGGATAATAATATTACTAGGTGATCGTTAGCAAAAGTTACTAGTACTACTCACGACAATAAGATAAGATTGGGAGGGAATACTCACTGCAGCAGCAACAAACAAAAAGGAAGTATTATATTAAGCAAAGTGATGTGCCCTTTGGATAACCAGTATCAAAGGGATAAAAAGCTGATGAGATAAGGATGATGAGGATGAGGATTAGAGGGAAGAGGAGAAGAGAAGAGGGAAGATAAGCGAGATTCCCAGTGTCTTTTAACGTTTAATACTCAAAGTGTGATTCGATGATGTGGTCTAGGGTTAGGTGTTTCAGCTGAGCCTCTCTGCGCTGGGACTTGGCGTTCGCTGTTCGACAATACTTCTTAACAGTGCCCAACACTGCCACTGCCTTGCTGTCAATTAGATGCGTTGAGCAGACAAACAATACCATTTATTTCCCAGTGGATGAGTTGTCTTTCGCTAAACTTACCGAGTGTGAAAATTTTCCGAAACCTATCGGCAGTTCACATCACATTGAGGAAACCCCGGGTTTTCACACTATTATTAGACAAATCATGACGTGTCACTCGGCATGATCAATGATTTCCCTGGGGGTGAAAAACAGGATTCTGGACAGCCTCATGAGCCACCACTTCTCGTCCCAACCGGATATCTACCTTTGTTCCCCAGCGATAGAGCAAACGATAAGAACAATCTCGACTTTGTTACAGCCGCTCTCTTGCAGTGCCATGACGGTTTTTCCTTCTCTCTGCAGTGGTCCTATCTTCAAAACACAACCAACTGTGGCATGTCTCCCCCGGTGCGCACCGAACCATCTGGTGGCTGAAGCTCAAGGTCCCCCCAGACAAGACCGTGTGCAGTCATGAACGAAATTCCCAGGTTTGTGCTGGAGGCCGGAGTTGCTTGGTTGCTTGGTTGCTTTCTTGCTTGGTTGCGTGCAGTGCAGCGGCGGGCGATTAGTCGTTCCTAGATCTTGGTGATTTGACTGGTGGTGAGATCTGCCGCCGAGTGCGGAGTCGGCGTGGTCCGTGCGCGTCATGATATGTCACTCTCGGACGGAGGCTGACGTATACGGAAGGGCGTTGCCCAATCAGTAACGCCCAACCATTCGGATTCCGACTTCCAGGTTTGACCTGGATGGCATCACCCATCACCATGTCCATTCCACCCCCGAATTTTTTTGGCGGAAGCAGCGGTTGAGATGATGTGTGCAAGGATGACCTGCTCATCAAGAGATGCAGGTTACTAATGTGGTTAAAGGACGAGATCTTACATGCAGAGTACTCTATCTACTGACAGAATTAGTAAGTACAGTAACAAACACAGTAAGGGAAAGAAAAAAGATATATCTGTTGAACATCTCCCCCACGCTGTTTTGCAGGACCTTCTTGATGTTAAAACGATTTTTGGCCGGTCTTCAAATGCGTTCACGGCCAATAGGAACGAAACAAAGACAAATGTCTCTGGACATTGCCACCGACCATATGCAGCAAGGACAAAGAACGAATACCACAACCAGAACCAGTTTTTCGGGCGATGTTCGAAACAAAGAACGAATGTCTCATATGAACAACTTTTTGCCGATTATACGAATTTACTTAGACCGAAACTAGCTTATTCCGGATAAAGCGTTACGGAAAGGAATATACGTGTCAATAATGAACACGTCAACACTTTTGGTAAAAAAACGTTTCTAGACGAGGCGAGACCTCAAGGCCTCAAGGCAGGATGGCCGAGTTGGTTATGGCGCCAGGTTAAGGTCTTAATCTTAACATCAATTCCTGGTTCGGAAACGAGCGTGGGTTCAAGTCCCACTTCTGTCATTATATTTTTGCTATCCTATGGGCTGTAAGGTGTTCATAAGCGGTCCATGAGATAAGGTACAAAAGAGACATGCTTCCTTTTTATCTTTTTTCCGATGCTGTGGGGGCTCTGTCAAACCTACAAAAGTCTCCCCCAATTATTAGTTTCGCCAAGCCAAGGGTACTGCTTTCCAGGGTAGCTCTTGAGCTCGGCGATGCTAGTGTTGAAAATGCTTTTTCTGTATCATCCGCTGTTCCTCCGCCCCAACTCAGCCATAAATATCAACTAATCAACACTACGTATCCAGAATTCGTTATTTTACTGAGTAGCTGATGTTGTATACTCTAATCGGAACATGCAAAAGAGCTAGAAAACAACAAAAGGCAACATACCGGGTTCTCTACTGGAGACAACTCGGACCCCTGTGAATAAGTGAAAAAATTCAAAGATCTTGCTTGAAGATATCAACTGTTTCATCCCTATACGTTTTCCTTTCTCCCCCACCACCTTTATCCTACCCCGTATTTACTTTAAACATAGGATTCGCTCATGTAGCCCACCCTCCTGAGACCTGCGTGTATCACGTTAAGTCTTTACCAGTCGGAGATAAATCACACTTTAAACGATACTTAACGACTGGCCTCGATCCGCATACCATCCAATGATTCTCTACACCGGGGAGCCCCTAACGGGATCTTGCAGTGTCTGAGACTGACCTGGTAGTACGAGCTGTCGGTATTGACATCCAGATTTTCGTATTTTCGCTCTGATTAGTTTCTTTGACCCCCCAGGATCATCCTGGTTGTTTGGTTGCCAGTCGATCCTGGAACGAGAGAAAGGCAGAAAGATTTTCGTGGAAGAGATAGCTGCATGCATGCTTAGTATCGCTGCGCTAGTTGGCAGATGTAGAGGGATGGGTGCTTGAGCCATGTCCTAGCAGAGGCCAGAAGAAGCCTATTCGATCCAAGCTCCCCGAATTCAAGGATGGAAAGATCGAAATCTCTGCTGCCAAGTATCCCAAAGGATTTATACCGCCGTGAGAAGTCGGAGCGCTCGCCGAGAAGGTGGTGAGACCGTGTTTATTGGGAAAGTTTCCCAGTTATGTACACCTTGGGCCGTGGGGCATGTACTCTTTGCCCAAGAGACCAAAGGTGATAGGAGCGTTTCCAGCCGTGTCTCTGTAAAAGCGGTGCAATGTTTCTTCTAATCGATGTCGGATCTCCCGTGTGACCGTATAGGACCTGTTAAATGCAAAGCATGTCTCTTATTATGCCGGATCGTTTGTGCGACATGTGTCGAAATAAGGATTATGTGCCAAGCCGGGAAGCTCCGCAGATAACCAATGATGGATAAATCATGTAGTCAGTGCTAGAGGATATTCTGTCGCTGTTTCAAAGATTGTGTATGAAACTCGCCTCTGGATCATGAATTATCACTGTGGCCTCTTATACTGGCCTCCGTATAAGATAGTCGTACTAACGGTTGTATCTGCCTTGTCAGGTTGAGTACGGGGTAATTGTAAGCATCCTGTGTGGACTTCCGCTGATTATAGCTATGATAATCGCTTCCTTCACAATGGGTTGATTGGAGTTTGCATGTAATATATGCGGATATCCGCCATGGTATTTTCAGTATCAACACGCCTCAATGGACTAGGGCGCGAAAAGGAATGTCGGGGGCCTCATCGAGGCATCAATTCGATCGTAATGGACGCTTTGCACTGGTACGGGAGCCAAAGATTTCTGTGTTCCACCTCCTGGATCATTCTCGGCTGCCCGCAAATTATTCCTCCAAGATGCCATTGGGCTTTATGCAGGATGCAACCGTCTTTGGAATGGGTACCAGCAAGACGACGAATCCGGTTATGGTAATGTCCAGCTGTCACCTTTCGCTGGTATAATTGGCGTGATCTACAAAGGTGCTTGGGTTGAGCAGCTATCACATAAGCTACATAATCGACGGGTCATAAAAGGTTCAAAGCGAACAGGAAACCAATTCCAGCTGGCAAAAGAAATGGCTCCAGCTATAGGTGTCCTATGTTGGTGATCGACGACCAGAGGTATCACCTAGCCGGACTAAGAGTAATACTAATAAGTGAGCAAGCGATCGAGCCAATTCAGGTCCACCAGCACCCATTATCTACGTAGAGACCTTATCTGTGGCCTCTTCAATTTGTTCAATTTTAACGAGATGGTTCGTGAGGACGAGGAATAACCTCTTCTGGTAGATCCCGATTGTAGCTAAGCCAAACTGGCTTTTGAGAACAAAGATCACCAGAGTGTAGTTGGGAAGATAGTAGGCGTAAAATTACCATGTCTTGCAGATGCGGAGATGAAAGAAGTTTTCTATTGTGGTAGCAGAGTACATGCACGTTGTAGGTTGTAGGTTGTAGGTTGTAGGTTGTCAAAACTCCACATTGGACTTTTACCACGTTACTACAGCAACGATTTTCCCAACACGGTGTTCTCAACCTTAATTGAATTACAGGTGCATATACGTCAGATGTGTCAAGTTCAGACAGCTGCATACCCCAAGATGTACAATGTCCGTCTGAGACTTGAACAGTCGCAACCAAACATGAAAACCATAAAGCACCGGATCGAATTCTCCGTTTGGTACGTACGGGGGGTTTCTTTGGGGATATCACTTTTCATTCAGGGGATGAAATTTAGTCCCAAGTTTTCCTGATATCCCAGATGAAATTCGCCAATTCTTGCCTTCTTAGAATCTCTTATTACAATGGGTCTAAACAGCCAGGTGCATCTATGCTGCGGCAAAGAGCTGACCGCAGCTCTTCCGGAAAATAGAAGCACCTAGCAGAAATCAGATTCATAATTATAGATGTTCCGTAAGTTCCCATACTGATAACATCATAGAATCCAGAGAACCCCTATCAGAATTCTGATATATGAGGCGGTGTTAATGTTACTCCTATTTTGAGATAATACGTGGACTAATTGACTTAGACGGATAATAAGCCTTTTTGTGGGTTATGAATGGAACTTGACCACTCTTCCCGTGGCGTGATAGTGACAGGATCTCGTCCTGATCCAAACCACTTATTTGCGGGAGGGATGGGGTTATTTCGAATTGAACAGGCCTACTTGAATAAATATATCTGTCGGTTTCAACAAAGCGCGCAGAATACACGTAGTCTGGCATGGGGGCCCCCCGGGGGGGGGGGG